TATTTTAAGGATTTAAAGGTTTATTGATCTCATTATATGACAGTATTTCAGGTTTAATTTAAAAACTAATTTTGTCAAAACGTAATGTAACTAAATCATTATAAATAATTTATTAAAACTAATTCCAAACACGTATTCTTTGTACTTATTCGTTCCAAAAAAATTTTTTTATTGATTAAATGTATTTATTTTTTCAGTTTAAGCAATTTGCTAGTTATATTAATTCTTCATCGCGTACACAAAAATTCACAAGAATATTGTCAAGACCAATATTCTTGAGAATATTATCTTGGTATTGTCTTGAAATTTTAAAGTGTATCTTAAATTGAAAAATAAGACAAGACAAGACAATATCAAGAGTACTCTTGAGGTATCGTAAAGCCCCAAAGGTCACCCATCCAAGTACTAACCGCGCCAAATACTGCTCAACATAACCAATCTATAGTTAGGCTATTTATCACCAGCACTTGCCAGCTCGTTAGAAAGTAATTTGTTTTCTATAAAGCCTAGCATAATGTTAATCTACGTATGTCCAGCTTTCGCTAGACTGAGAATTAATGTGTTTTCTGTAAATGAAGCATTTATATTAGGGATACTCATCACCAGTGCTTGCTTTCCCAAGAATTAATTTGACTACTGTACCAAACTAAAACGCAGCGGAGCTATTTTCAACTAGCACTTTCTCCCCTAAAAAATATTTTATTTTATATAAAAAACTCATATACAGTTAAGCTATTTATCGCCAGCACTTGCTGGCCTGAAATGTAATGTATTTTCTGTTTGAAACTAACTTAAAGTTGGACTACTCACCGTCAGCAGTTACATGTTTTTTAATACTATTTATAATTAGTAAAAAATTTTTTAATTTTGCAAATATCCATTTTTATAAATGTTGTTATATCACATTATATTTATTTCAATTTTTTTGAAGTTAGTTTTCACGAGAAAAAAAAAATTACTCTGCCTAGGGAAAGCTAGTTCAGCCTTAAAATCATACAACTGTAAAATATAAAAAGAACATATCCATGTATATATGCATGTATACATTTATGTATATATACGTATATATTGCGCGGTGTTTGTTGTAAAAGGGGGGGGGGTATAGAAAAATAAGTAAAGATATTGTACGTCCTCATTTTTTAAGAACAACCTTTAATATGGAATTCCAATTAATAATGAACAAAATCAGTTTTATAGCATTCTTACAAACAAATTTCAAATATATCACTACTGTATGAAAAAGAAATTGATATAGAAAACCAAATGTCGCTGATTTACAAATACAAATGAAACAAAATAAAATAAGTTCGCTATAACAATTTTTTTGTGCAATAATCGTTTTTACGTATTCTACTGTCTCTTTTAAGTAGAAACTCTAATACGCAGCGGTATTAGTTCGTAAGTAATTCAAAGCAAAAAAAAAAGAAAAGTGTTAAGTTTCTGTTTCTACATTTAATCTCTGTTCTCTCATGATTCAAATATTACATTCTTGATCCCACCTAATGTCGCGTTCTCATAAGTTATGTTATATCCACTTATACTTTAGCTGTTTTGTGTTCAGTTGGCTTTGCGCTGGCTGAGAGTCAACATGTACTTATACATTCGTTCAAAATAAATTCCTTTTCGTACAATAACTCGGTTATTTTCCCAAGCCCATCTGTCACAGGTTATGGGCCCAGTTGACAGCGAAAAATAGCCCAAATTAGAGAGAAAAAAAAGGAAGTTCAAGTCGGAAGTGAGGTTAACTCACCACGTGCGCAGTCTTGACGTATCCACCATGTCGGACAGTCAACACGTATCGCACACTCCGCGTTTCGAACTACTCTCCCGAGAGAACTACGATACTTGGAAGATTCCGGTAGAGGCCCTGCTCATAAAAAAAGACGGTTGGGACTACGTATCGGGCGCAATCCCACCTCCTAGCCCGGACGTAGCGGACACAATCACCGCGAGGGCCACAGCCGAAGCAGAGCTCAAAACCTGGTTGGCAAAAGATCGAAAGGCCAAATCAGATTTCATACTCAGCACCTCACAGTCCGAGCTCAAGGAAATAAAAGATTGCATCACATATCATTAAGTTTGGCAAAAGCTGGAGTCGGCGTATGCTTCTAAAACACCTGCTTGAAAAGCCGCGCTCTACAGACAGCTTACTCAGCACAAGATGGTGGAAGGCAACAGCATGGTCGACCACCTCAAAGATTTTTTCGACGCGTCCGACAAGCTGAAGTCCATGGGCACCAAGCTGGACGACTTACAAATTGTTTTAAGAAGAATAGCCGAGAGGAGGGCAAAGTCGAAACCTCAGGCTTGTGTTTCTTCACCAGTGCGACGATGAATGACAAGTGGTGCTTAGATAGCGGGAGGCGTCGGACGTTTTCAGCGATAAAGATGCCTTTATAAACTTTTCGTGTGTCAACGGAAGCTTGCAATTAGCCAACGATGCGACGGCGAGCGTATGCGCCAAAGGAGACGTGAACATTGTGTCAAAAGATGACACGCGAAGCATAACCTTGAAAAATGCACTTTACGTGCCTAACCTCAGAACTAATCTCGTTTCAGTCGCGAAAGTAGTCGATGCAGGCTTTAACATTAATTTCAACGAGCAATGCGCCTTGATCATGGATGCTGAAGGGAGGATTCACGCGCGCGCCAAGCGACTTGGTGACTTGTTCTACATAAATGGGGCCAAGGAATCACTCAACGTACCCGCCCTCGCCAAAATTAAAACCAACATCAATGAATGGCATGCTCAGCTCGGGCACTTGAACGCCAAAGATCTGAAAGCCATGATCTTACAGGAACATGCAGTCGGGTTCGACGGAGTAACGATCGAAGATCTCAGCAACTGCACCACCTATGCCGTCGCGAAAATGACCAGAGAGCCGTTTCAATCTCGATCGAATTATGCCAACAAACCCCTCGAAGTGATTCACATGGATATTTGCGGACCAATGAGGACCACATCTAAGGGCGGCGCGAGATGATTTGTCACATTCATCGATGAACATACTCGGTTCTGTCACGTTTATTTCATGAAGGAGAAGAGCGAAGTCACCGACAAGCTCATCGAATTCAAGAGTATGGTCGAAAATCAGACCGAAAATTTAATCAAGGAACTCCAGTCCGATGGCGGTAAGGAATATTACAACGGCAGGCAAGACAAGTTGCTAAAAGACGATGGCATCAAGCGTCGATTTACCGTGCCGCACACGCCGCAACAGAACGGTCTAGCCGAGCGTAAAAATCGCACACTTGTCGAGACTGTACGTTGCCTACTCGCGCAATCCGGCCTGCCCACGCACTTCTGGGCTGAAGCCATTCATACCACTAACTACATCCGTTACAGATGTTTCACAGAGACCATTGGCTGTACACCTTACCAGAATTGGACTGGACGCAAACCAGACATATCGCACATGAAGTCTTTCGGCGAGAAGGTTCATGCTTTAAACAAAAGCCCGACGAGAGGGAAGTTCGATCGTCGTGGACTTGAGGGAATTTTTCTCGGTTACTCTGATAATTCCAAGGCTGATCGTACTTGGCTCACCGATGCCAAGAAAGTCATTTCCTCGAGAGACGTGAGATTCTCTAACAAACTCGAGGGCCCCATTTCGATGCCGGCAGCGTAACTCGATAACGAGAAATTAAAGGTTCCGATAAACGCAAATGTCGTCGACGTAATCGAGCACAGAGTCACACCAGTTGCTAAATCAAGGCCGATCGCAGTCGATGACCCTGGGAGTGATGTCGGAGTAGACATTAACTCCTAAAAAGCATCGTTGACTGCGGTAAATAAACGAATTAAATGGATTTCAGACAATTTCATCATGAAACTCTTATAATGCAAAAACTCACTCTACGAAAAAATCAACTTTCTTCACCAATTCTGAAATCAACATAAAGCACACAACTTCAATTATTCTTACCCCATTTCTTCCTTTAAAAATACATCTCTCATCACCAATTCTAACATCCAATTTTAAGACGTCTCGTTCCCTTGTCCCTACAGGTACTTTTCAACCACTTTGCAGTTACAAAATATCATCGGGACTCCAAATTAAAAACTTAATCCTTACTTACCTTCAATAAAATACTTAATCCTCAAGCATTAATAGCGACTACAGATGCACTTAAAAATTCTGACAATGAGTTCATTAGATTTACTCTCTCTCTCTCTCTCTCTCTCTCTCTCTCAAACTCAAGAGTCTGAAGTAACAGCTATAATCTCAATATTTACTGCAGAAGCACGACCAATTACTCAATTACATGGTAATGAATTTCTTATGCTCCTTACCATGTAATAATAATTTTTTGTCAACTCTAAAAGCATGTCTGGATTCATAAAAAATTGCTCACTATTAAAAAATAAAAACTCGCACAGTATACTTTTTATCTTGCAGATCTAAACCTACTTACTTTAGGTCTTTGCTAGAGGCCAAAGGTATAACTTGTTTACAACCACTCTCAGTCAGGCATGGAACGTAATAACAAGTCAGACCTGTGCTCTAAAAAGGTGCCATAAACTGACATAGCTTCCACCTTATCTTTCTACACTTCTTAAACTTCTATGAACAAATTATTTTCTTGACCAACACCAATTCCACAGCCTAGTCACATCAAAAGCCATGTACTAAGGACCTGATTGTTTGTCAAACTCCTCCAGTAAATCACAATCAAAACCCTATTGGTTCCATAGCTACAAATATACAAGACACGTAACTACGATAAAACGACTAAGATCAAATCACTGCTCACTAGCAGACGGTTTGGACAAAAAAATTAATGAATGTTTCTCTTCTGCATGCCATTTTAGACAAATCTTCTAGAACATTCAAGACCTGCTGTGATGTATTAACGATTAAATGTTACCATTCAAGTGACGAATACAAAGGGCTTCTTCAGTTAAATAATACATAAGTACAAGCCAATAATAACTTAAATATTTATAAGTGAGAAATATTTGAGTTTTCAATTCAAATACTGTAAGACGTGAATCTAACCTATCCCAATTATGATCCCATTTAGTAACAAAAGAGTTATATTTCATATTTGATGCAACTAGACGGAAAATAAAGAACTCATCTCTATACTTTATAAAGAAAAAACTGTTCACTGTCAGTAATCCAACACTAAATAAAGAAAATTTCTGAAGTCTCGAAAAGTGTGCCATTTTCTTAAACAGCCGCGATGGCTTTAAGGGCTCCCCTGACAAAAACTAAATCCGAAGGCTACGAGCAGGGCCTGGCCAGGTGAGCTAACGTGGGTACAAGGAAGTGTGGCTAAAAACACCATTTTCAGGACCTCACAGTAAAAGAAACAGTGGAGAGAAAAACATAGATTAACACATATCTGCGCTCTGTGCTTGGCTGCTTGTGCTTGCCCGATCGGAAAACTAAGGCCGCAGTCATATACAGCGCAATAGAGCGAGCAGGATAGGAATTTCTCTATAAGCGGCTGTGTTAAGCCTATTGCGCTGCAGGATAGCCCTCCCGATTGGAAAGTTAGCAGGGCTCCCACGCTATAGTTAGCTGGGGCCTATGTGAGTTGCCTAGGTGGTACCAAGCTAGGAATGTAATAGGGCTCTGGGTAAGCGCTAACTGGGGACAAGAAAGTTATCGTCTACCTAGCTTTTCCTTGTACGCATTGAGAGATTCGAGAGCAGAGAGGTATGTATAAATATATATATATATATATATTTTTTTTTGGGGGATAGTCGAGCGATAGCAGCGAATGTCGCTGGGAGGAGGAAACCGGTTATCCGTGAAATCAGCTGTTGGTGTTGTATATTACAATTGTTATTTCGCTTGAAGAAAAAAGAGGATAAATAAAAAACAGAGTGAACAAAGAGGCAGGAAGGGGGAGAGCGCNATTATTTTAATAAATTACTACGAGTGACAAAGAATAGCGTTTATTGTTGTTAAATTTAAAAAGAATTCGTAAGTAAATAAAATTGTGAAGCGTGGAATAATCAATGAAGTGAGAGTTTTTAATAATGAGAGTAGTTTGCAAATAAATTATGCTAATCAATGTCATTACTAATTAGACTTATATGCGTCGCCTACATTAATTATTTAATTTTGTTCTCATACCTCTCTTTATTTTTCTAACCCTGTCCTTCAAAGGTTAATTGGGATGCCAATATTGGCCCCACATAATGCCCCATGACACTGCGCTATCTACCTCTATGTATTTGCCCTGTTTGGACCTACATAGGTAACTGGGTAACCAATGTAGGCCCAACATGAAGCCCTCTTAACACAGCCGCTTATGGAGAAATTCCTGTCCTGCTCGCTCTATTGCGCTCCATGTGACTGCAGCCTAAGCTGGGCGTTAGGTTGGCCCAACCCTGGCTGCCAACTTACCCTACCTGCAGCCAAGCGAGGCATAAGGGGGACTTTAGCACTACACATTAACGGGGAGATAAGTTGGTCCTACCCTGGCTGACCAGTTAACGTATAACTGTGACCAATGTATGAGGTCCCTACGGTCCGCAAACTCAGCATAGATGGCGTACTGTAGCTAAGAGAAAAATGGCATCCCATTGACACAAATGTAGTATTCACGATCTCCTCACGTCAGCGTGACGGATATGTTGTCACATAAGTAAGTCCACAATTACCGTATACCGTCGTCACTTATAGGCCTTATAGCCGTAGTGTGTCAGTGACGCCATTTTTCTCTTAGCTACAGCACGCCATCTATGCATAGTATGCTGATCGTAGGGACCTCATACGTGCAGATAGTAAATTTATTTGTTCACAAAATTGAATAAGAAACAATGTTAATGCAAACAAGCTTTTATTCCAAAATAAAAAAAAAATTTCAAATACATTAGAATATTTTTTATCTAAAAAACAATAGATACCCACATAATAAAAACACAAATTCTGAAATTAATCAATGTTTTCCTTGTTAATTTTTTCTCTTCTAAATCTGCTGCTATAATTTAAAATAATATTCATCTTTATTATAAACATAGAGTATTGTATAATATACTTTATTGTACATATATCTGTCTTTCAGGCTTTGATATTTGCATAGTATATGTTTTATAAGTTCTTTTCTCATCAATTATTTAATTATTTGAACCAATGGTCCAGAAGGTCAGCATTGAAGTTCTTTACATGCAAAAGGTGAAGTTTTCACAAACACGCAAGCGCGCGCTTGTACATACAGTGCCCTGAACTACGCACTCACGTTCGTGGCTGTATTCGGCAATCGCCAGCAGCCAGTGAATATGGGGAGAACCACGTCAACTGTCCCAACGCCGCGGTGGACGGCCCGCGCGGGCGTCAAACACGACGTTTTCAACTCGTCGTTTCGGTGTCAAAACTTTGATAAAAAAATTATCTAAAAACATGTTCTTTCGTATTTTTTCCTCAGCTTTCCAGTGGTGGCATCAGTTTTTCGAAAATTTGCTCCCATAACCTCGGAAAATGCACTTGTTTGAAAAACACGTTTTATCTCCATGATCTTCAACTTTTGGAATTTTTTTGATAGTCTAGATCGAAAGATGAGACATTTTTACGTAGATATCGACAATAAAAAAAGAGGGGTTTTTCGTTTTTACGACGTATTTAAACGACAAACGAGACGATGCGAGCCGCGGTGGAAGGAGAAATTTGCATCATCTAACGACAAGCGAGAGAGAATCACGTTGCTCACCCTCGCCCCAAAATTTTGGAACCGAAGAGAGCTTATAAAAGAATTTAGTTGCACAGATAGAGAAGCTAGGTAAGCTTTAAACTTAGTTGCAGAACGTGGCATACTCTCATGGCCCGATAAAAAAAAAGGTTAAGTTTTATCTGCTGATGTTGAGGGCTGCGTCAAAATTTTTTACGAGCGTGACAGTGTCAGCCGCTTGATGCCTGGATTAATATTCATTTTATTTAAAGAAGAGCATGAAAATGTCAAAGTGGGTCTCACGAAATTCGTACAACTCAGATCTCCTCACTGTATCTTAGCCGGAAGTAGTGGCACGCATAACGTTTGCGTATGCGTGCATCACGAAAACGTCAAACTGATGATAGATGCACTAAATTTAGAAGAATTAACGAAACCCAAGGCAACACCTCTTCAAAATTCCACGGACTGATTGAACGCCATTGTTTGCGATAATCCTTCCGAAAATTGTTTTTTAGGAAAATGTTTAGATTGTCCCAATTTCGGAAAACTTCGAAGATCATTATTAGATTCGCTAGAAGCTGAAGGAATTTTAATACTTAATCAACATTAATCGTTATTTATTTCTTTATTATAAAATTGTTGTATATATAAACAAATTTTATCAAAACATTTATTATTCATCCATTGTAAGCCCTGGTTAAGTAATTGTTGTTTACATCGCCACTACTACATTATGTATATTATATAGCCATACAGACTCAACGTAGCAGACGACACACGGCGGACGCGCTGCTGCCGTGCGTGGCCCGGCCACCACGGCTCGCATCGTCTCGTTCGTCGTTCAAATACCTTATAAAAACGAAAAACCCCTCTGTTTTTATTGTCGATATCTACGTAAAAATGTCTCATCTTTAGATCAAGACTATCAAAAAAATTCCAAAAGTTGAAGATCATGGAGATAAAACGTGTTTTTCAAACAAGTGCATTTTCCGAGGTTATGGGAGCAAAACTGATGCCACCACTGGAAAGCTGAGGAAAAAATACGTAATAATATGTTTTTAGATAATTTTTTTATCAAAGTTTTGACACCGAAACGACGAGTTGAAAACGTCGTGTTTGACGCCTGCGTGGGCCGTCCGCCACGGCGCTGGGACAGTTGACGTGATTCTCCGCATATAAGAGACATGTATGGCCAGCGTTGGCCACGATGGTCAAAAGTTTGATACCGACCGCAACCTTCAGGCCGCGGTCACATAGACGCGTTCGCTCGCGTCTGACTGCGTCCGCACGCGTTTGACGTCCGTCAGAATCGTGCCTAGTTCTTCACTACCAACGTGCAAACCTTAAATAATCTTCAAAAACAAGTGGATACAACGGATATTTTTGGGACTTATTTCATTTAAAAATGGCAGCAAAAAACTAGGCACGATTCTGATGGAAGTACGTCAAACCCGTGCGGACGCAGTCAAACGCAGTCGAACCCGTCTATATAACCGCGGCCTTAGAATGCTTCTTTGGGTGTAATCCGCAATCGCCGCCAGCAGTTACATATGTAAGACGTGACAACGTTGCGTGGTTGGGGGCGCTACTGTCGATTTACTGGTGATGTGATCCGCAATTCTGCCAGCAGTAAAGCAGACGACGTCGGTCTACTTGCTCTTTTTCGTGATATTTTATGATTGTAAACAAAGCATATTGTGCTCGACGTAAACAAACACGCAGACCAAAAAAAATAGTTTCAAGTGCCAAAAACAAAAATAGAAATAACAGCTGTACTGCTGGCGGAATTGCGCGGGATCTTAGCAAAAATAGAAATAACAGCTTTACTGTTGGCAGGATTACGCAGGATCACAGCAAAAATGTCACGATAAAGATCAAGTAGACTAACGTCGTCTGCTTTACTGCTAGCGGGATCGCGGATCACATCACCAGTAAATCGACATTAGCGCCCCCAACCACGCAACGTTGTCACGTCTTACATATGTAACTGCAGGCGGCGATTGCGGATTACACCCTTTACTAGCACAATCGCTAGCCAAGCTGTGAACTATCGCTGATGGGCGCATGCGCACATATCTATATATGTATAGTTCACAGCGATAGTTAACAGCTTGGCCGGCAGTAGTGCTGATAAAGAAGCGCTCTAAAGGTTGCGATCGGCGTCAAACTTTTGACCATCGCAGCCAACGCTTTTTATGGAAACGTCGCATCATTAGAGGCGCCACTGTCGCTATTTACTGGTGCTGTGTTTGGCAATCTCACCCGTAACAATGAGACGACGTCGATCTAATTGCTCTTTTTCGTGATATTTTTTTTGACGTTCTGCTATAATATAAAAACATATAAAAGAGCCCCCCTTAACGTCGTTTGCTTTTTACAAGTGAGATTGCCGAACACAGCATGGAGCACCAGTAAATAGCGACAGTGGCGCCTCCAATAACGCGACATTGCCATATATGTCTTTTATATTTACTGGCTGGTGGAAATTACCGAACACAGCCCGTATCAGTTTTCAAAACGCCAGGTACTTAAAGTAAGGTAGAAGATAGCAAC